CTTCTGGGACCCAGTGCAGCTCACGGGCATTTTGATGTCGTCCATGTCTTCAAAACGGGTTGCCTTGATGAGCCACTTGAGATTGGGAAAGAGAAAAAAGAAAAAAACAACGATCTGAAGTTTTATTTGTACATATTCCTTTACATAGATTTCTCTTGAGTCTTTGTAAAAACATCCTTCATGTTCAATATAAAAACATACAATGACTACTTTAATTCAACAAGACTGTGTTTTCGCGATAATAATAGATGAATAATTTTCCTAACCACTAAGCCAAATATTGTTTCTTTACATTTGACAACATCAAGGATGTGGACGATGCCACATTGTCCCGTCTGGAGCTGGAGAGGAAGATCGAGTCCCTGATGGATGAAATTGAATTCCTCAAGAAGATGCACGATGAAGTAGGTGCAGATTATATTTATACTTATACTATACTTACATTTTTTTTTAAACTCTTCGGGCCTGAAAAGCAGAAACATTTAAGCATTGACCGGTCCCTTCAAAAGAGAAAAATAAAGATGAGTCACTAATCATTAGAACATTTGATTTCATTTTGACAATATGCGACAGACAGCTGCACGATGAAGTAGGTGCAGATTATATTTATACTTATACTATACTCACATTTTTTTTAAACTCTTCGGGCCTGAAAAGCAGAAGCATTTAAGCATTGACCGATCCCTTCAAAAGAGAAAAATAAAGATGAGTCATTAATCATTAGAACATTTGATTTCATTTTGACAATGTGCGACAGACAGTTCTACAAAGCATGATGCATGATGGTTCTTTGCTGTGTTCATGATTACATGGTTGAACAATTTTAAAAAATATATTGCTTGTTATTTTAGGAAATCCAAGACGTTCAAGTGAGTGTGCAAACCCAGCAACTGAGGATGGAGGTGGACCATACCACCCGACCAGACCTTACTGGTGCTCTGAGGGACATCAGGGCACAGTATGAGAGCATTGCAATGAAAAACATGCAGGAATCTGAGGATTGGTACAAGTCCAAGGTTGGCAACAACAGCATAGACACAAAAGCACACACTCAAAGATGCACTTTTCTCTTAACGTTCTTATCTTTATGTGAGCAGTTTGCAGATTTGACTGAATCTGCAAAGCGAAATGGTGATGCTCTGAAGCAGGCCAAGCAGGAGGCCACAGAGTCCAGGAGGCAGATCCAGTCCCTGAACTGTGAGATTGATGCATTGAAGAACACGGTCAGGACAGCACTTTAGCTATCTTTTTTTTTTTTGCATGACCTCGCATTACATGTTTCCCCGGCCTATAACCTTGATGTCATTTCACCGCATGATTCCAGAATGAAGCCCTCCTGAGGCAAATGCGTGACATGGAGGACCAATTTGCCAATGAAATCGCTAACTACCAAGACAACGTCGGCAGACTGGAGGACGAGATCCGCCACCTGAAGGAGGAGATGGCTCGCCATCTCCGGGAATACCAGGACCTCCTCAATGTTAAGATGGCTCTGGACATTGAAATTGCCACTTATCGTAAACTGCTGGAGGGTGAGGAGAGCAGGTGAGCATGGGCTGTCTTAGTTTCAATGACATTTCACAAGAAATGTGCGCCCTGAAACTTTGGTTGCGTTTCTTCTTCAGGATTACCATGCCTATCCTCAATATTGGCATGACAAATCACCTTGGTGAACGTGGTGAGTTGTGGTTTTCTATTCCAACAGCAGACGATTAAGGTCTCAGCTTCTGTAGATGAAAATCATTGATGTTGAACCCATTCGTTCACCGGTTGAATTTACAACTCCACAACAAACAACAATGACATTCAGCGACATGCTGAGTTGTATTTTTCCTAATTTGATTCAATTTGTTTCCATGCCGGTCGGTCAATATATGTCGCCACATGAAACTGGCCCGTGACACATTGTAGGTGGGCTCTCCAATACATTGATCTTTCATAGTCACACTGTCCACCTACTATCCTCGCTCTCGGTAATGCAAAAAAAGTGGGCCAAAATAAGCAGGGTTGGCATATTTCACAGTGCTTAATCTGTTTGTGACAAAGTGAAAGGAATGACTATAGTTCTGTGACAAACATGACTGACTCACGTCAAGGCGCCTTCTCAACTCTAGGCGCAAAACTAATATCTATCACGAATAAAAAATATTGGAAAGTAAATAATGTAACATGTTGTGAAAAGCATTCATTTTCAATGGTGCTTGGACTCCTTAAGGTTATCCCAGCTGACGATAGGCAAGCGGAGAATACATACAGGAACGGTTACCATTCGGTATGTTTTTAATGTCATATTAATGCTGTATATATAATGATATCCATGTAATTCAGATTATGAACCCAGAGCAGAGATTGGCACCAAGAGGACTGTGGTGATAAAGACAGTTGAGACTAGAGATGGAGAGGTAAGGAGAAGATTGTATTTAAATGATGCATTGACTCATATGAGCAGTCCTGTCAGGAACTTAACAGTATTTACATAATTTTCCCATCAGGTGGTGAAGGAATCCAAGAGGGAGACGGAGAGAGATTCAGGCCACACTGATAAAGATGACAAGGACAACTGAAAACTACCTGATGTGATAATGTGAAGGCCCGTGCCATGACAAGAAATAAAAAGCAAATTGGGGGGTGGGGGCGGGGGGAACTCCTTAGTGTTTCATTGTTTAGCATAGAATAATAAAATGTAGGTGCAAAGTAAAATGAATACATTGGGACTGGTTGGTCACTTTGGTGCTATTGAAGCCACCCAGCTGTTCCAAAACACAGCTGTGTCATCTGTGTGATAAAGCAGAACTGTAATGGAAACCGATCCACATACCAGATGAGGCCTTTGTGTGCAGTGCAATCCCATGGAGTCCTTCCATAGCCACATGTTTCTAGCTTGCTATATGTTCAACAGCAGTGGAAAAGAAGAGCATCAATTTACATAAATAGCTTTACATAGCATCCTCAGTAAACAAAAAAAACTTCACATTCCAGTAGCTTTGCGATCTACCTGTACCAACTATATCAAAAGAAAAAAAAAATATGTGAAACATGGGGCAAAAAATAAGGGGCATGGGTGATGACCAGTTAAAGTAAGGCACATGAAATGGCTGGGTGATCTAACACAATGAAGGGTCACATAATTGCAAATAAACTAACCTTGAACACGTCTCATGTCTCTGTCTCAATTGCTTCATGTGAAGTCAACGCAGCTTCTCCATTAATCCATTTTTTAAAAGTGCTCAGTCTCATTATGGTCACGGTCCCAGGTGAGCTGGAGCCTGGAGCTTGATCCAGGAAGAGCAAAGCAAAAGCAAAGTACACTTTCTGGAACATTATGACAAAAATGAAAAAGATTTGTACAGTGGAGAAGATGAGATAAGATTAATATTCAAATTCCTTACAGCAAGTGCCCATGACCGAGTTAGTTCTCGGCATTTAAATGACTAAATACAGACATCCATTCACAATCACATCTACAGTAGACAATTTCGATCCTTCCCATTTCAATACGCCCAAGAGAAAATCCAAGCATCCATGGGGACATCATGCAAACTCCACACAGAAAGGCCACAGCCGAGATTTGAACACCAAACCGAATTGTCACTATTACATCGTGCCGCTTGTTAATAACGTAACTTAATAACTTCTCATTAATTATTTTAATCGGGTGAAAGGGAGTTTAGCCATGCTCCACTTTGTGAAACAGTTTTGATTTGAATGTATGACATACCCCAGGACATTAAATTATGCAATGTAAACTAAAATATATGTTTTACGATTTTTTTGCAATTAATTTTCAATTAAAACGTCTCATAGTTTACTGTCGAAATTCAGTACGGTACTGTGTACGCTTTGCAGTACAGTATTTTGTTTGAAATGGTGTTAAGTATTCCCAGCGCTAGATGGCAGTGATGTGCAGGCACGTGCTTTCCACTCACTTTAAATATCCCAAGAAGAACACCACACAATGACGACATTCTACATCCGATTTCGTTCGCTTCTTGGCGCCAGACTTGTGGACTTGATGGCGAGTGTTGATCCTAAGTTTGACTTGTTTGTTACATTGACACACTTTTCTTGATTATATTTCACACTTTGTGGCAGTAGACGCCGCCAGGAAACGCATTGAACGACTACCACTCCGTGAGTAGAAAGCGTTTTTTTTGCGGTATGATGTCCACTCAACGTTGGGCTCATCAGATCAATATTTTAAAATCTCTAAAAATACTAAATGAAAACGGAATTAACAGCAGGATTAGAGATGTTGAATAATATTCTTCTTACCCCTCATTTAACTGTATATCAGGGGGTAAAACAGAAACCACTTTTAATATGCTAATATAAACACCTCCGCAAACAGTACGTCTGCAAAAATATGCAGTCAGAATTTAACAGTGTCCGTCGAAACTGAGGCCGTTTATTTTATTCATGCGGAATATTTTATTAAGACAGTTTTATGTCGACAATAATTAGAGCTTGCTCGTGTACCAAAACGATTTGGCCGATAAGTGTCAATAATGACACTGTTGAGGTCTACGATGACAGTCACTAGTTACGCATGTGTCACACGCAAATCGTTTTATTTATTTTTTCCTAGTATTTCGTATTTATATCTCGCCTTGCCTGCATAAACTTTGAAGTACTGTATTCATGCAAACAATCATATTGATAATCCTTTACTCGTATCAATCAGCAAGAAATGAATAGTGCCCAGTTCATTTTGAAGGAGGTATTTTCAGTCAGTCTAACTATTTCACCATTACTCTCCTTTTTCTATGTGAATCCTCACTTTTGTTCTTCCAGAGGGTGTTTGAACTTATTCAGGATGAATTGTGAACTTCTGGCAACATGCAGTGCTCTTGGATACCTGGAAGGAGACATTTATCACAAAGAAGCTGATTGTTTAGGTCAGTGGATTGGATTTTTTTTTTCGTACATCCTCATTGGTCTTAATCACCACGTGTAAACAAATGTATACTGTGATGACTAATTAAAAAAACAGCAACCCCATGTTTTCTCTGTCTCAGAGAGTGTGAAAGACTTGATCAGGTACTTGCGCTATGAAGACGACACCCGCGATGTCCGCCAGCAGCTGGGTGAAGGCCACATCTTAGAACATGACCTTCTGCCTATTATCACTCAGCACGGGCATGAAAAGGCCTTGTTTGATGCCTGCATACGGTAAACACCTCAGGATGAAACTTTCCTCTTTTAAAATATCATCACTCTTATAGACACAGTTGAGAGTCATGCGGTTATACCTGTAAATGTGTTAAATGTATCGATCACGTGATAGAGAGTCAAAAGTGTACTATAGCAGCATTATAACTCAAATTGGCCGAATGACACTATGTTCATATTTGTTCTTTCACAGGCTAATGGTCAATCTAACACAACCTGCTATGCTCTGCTTTGGGAAGGTTCCTGACGACCCCGTGTTTAGACACCACTTTTTGCAAGTGACCTCTCATTTACAAGCCTACAAAGAGGTACCGCCAGTATATCTTTTGTGATGTTATTTTATCCCACCTGTGTTTGTATCCTTCAATGCAGATTGTAATGAATCCATACTAGATGAGCCTTTTTGCATCATACTTTGTAGATGCCAAAACCCACCTTTACATTTCAAACTTACGAATAACCTGAAATATATAGTACAAAGTATTAAAGTGGCAAATGATCTGATCAAGTCACAATTACCAAGCAATGCTTTTCTTTTCTTTATTTTAATTGTAGGCATTTGCGACTGAGAAGGTGTTGGGCATTTTAAGCGAGACACTGTACAACCTGTTGCAAATGGTAAGTGATGGACTAGTGAACACCATGTTTTTTGGATTTTTTTTAAATAACATGTCAGTTTGTATTCATACATGTATTTTGTTTTGTTTTCCTTCCCCTCCTGCTAATCTGTTTTCCTTTCAGGAATGGGAGCAGAGGCAGGAAGAAGACAACCTTCTGATCGAGCGAATTCTGATGCTGGTCAGGAATGTGCTTCATGTACCTGCAGATCCTTTGGAAGAGAAGGTTAAAATGTTTTGCAGTTTGATTGGATGAACTGGATGCATAGAATACTTTGACTAGAAAGTTTGTATTGGTGATCAGCGTAATAATTGATGAGTTTATGAAGAATTCCATCCATTGATTGAGTGACACATATTGAAGCAGTTAATTAGTTGTGTTTAGAGACGAAATGTATTTTACTACTTGGCCAAAGGTTCTGTTGGGTAAATCGGTTTTGGATGTTACAGCCATTAGAACTATCGTAGCATTACAAAGGAATCAGAAGTTTAATGCATTGATGTTCTGCACGTTTTAAAAAATATTTGAAAAACAATGACTCTATTAGCAGTAAATGTTACCACAACTCTCCACTTTGTGTTTTTGTGTCTCTTTTATATTCTCCTATTGCAGAAAGTAGATGACGATGCCAGTGTCCACGATAGGCTGCTCTGGGCCATTCATATGAGTGGTTTTGATGACCTGCTCAAGTTCTTGGCGTCGGCCCAGAGTGAGCAGCAGTGGAGTATGCATGTGTTGGAAATAATCTCTCTCATGTTCAGAGACCAGGTGAAGCCAAATCATCTTGTTTCCGTCTCATCAATGTACATCGTGATAGATGGCTGTTCATTGGTTGAGGTTTCTTGTGGTGTGACCGCAGACACCGGACACCTTGGTGAGCGCGGGACACGCTCGCTCGGCGGAGCAGAAGCAGAGAGACACTTCGGAGCTGGAAGGTCTGAGGCAGAAAGAGCAAGCAGAGAAACGTTCTCGCACATTGCAAAGAGGAACCAGGTGCATGATATGACAAGATCTTAACGAAAGTATTTTTATTTTCTAGTCATACCTTTATCAGTTTCAGATGATTAACTGCTCATTGCAAATCCCACCTGAAATTGCTTGTTCATTTGTTTGCTTCTGTCAGGCATTCACGATTTGGAGGGTCTTTTGTTGTGAAAGGACTCAAAGCAATCGGAGACAATGATATCATTTATCATCGAAATGTTCACAATGTAAGTACTATGATGCAATTTACGAAGGATTGCAAGAAAAAGTCACCGACCTGTTTCCTGCCTTTAATTCCTAGTTCAAAAACTACACTCACGACATGGGTAAAGCTGTCCGACGTGTTCCAAGGCGAAATCGACAGGCCCGGGAAAGTCAGGACCAACGGCGCTCGGCTTTAAACGTTCGACTCTTCCTGCGAGAGTTTTGTGTGGACTTCTTAGAGAACTGCTACAATCGCCTCATGTACATTGTCAAGGTCAGCAGCTGCAACAGCAAATATTTTTTTTCCCAATCATAGTTTAGAATTAACCATTATATGATTCAGCATTTATATTACACACAGTTGTAGGACAGTACAATCTTAGCTATTTCAACTGTAGGAATCTTGACATTCTGTTTTTTTTGTCCCTTCATATCCAGGAAAGCCTGATTCGGGAGCAGTCTCAGGAGCACGATGAGACTTACTATCTGTGGGCGCTCAGCTTCTTCATGGCCTTCAATCGCGGCAACAATTTCCAAGCTGATTTAGTTTCCGAGACGATGTCCACCCGCACTTTCCACTTCATCGAGCGCAACATCACCAATTACTACGAGATGATTTTGACTGACCGCAAAGAGGCCACGTCCTGGTCCCGTAGGTAAGAAGAGAGTTTGGAAAACCGGGGCGATTCGGAAATTGCTGACATGATGTCCGTTGATGTTTTACGCCTTCTTGTTCCTGCTAGGATGCACCTGGCACTGAAGGCTTATCAGGAGCTGCTCATGACGGTGAACGAGATGGACCGATCGCAGGATGAAAGCATCCGCCACAGCGCCAATGTGATCAAAAGTATTGCTACTGATGCGAAACAACAGAGACGTTAGAACAAACATTCTGCACCTACAAAGATGATAATGCTCAAGATAGTATAATGTATAATAGATAATAGACACAACATGCAAAATAAATGGCTAACAGGAAATAATCAGCAAACCTTCAGAGTGCCGGTGCTCTTCATAAAGATTAGACAATTCCTGCTCCTTTTTCTTCCGTCCAAGATGGCGTCTTTTCCACTCTGACAATTGTAACACAATTACCAGATAATGCGAATTTCTTTCTGTCGATAAGGTAACCTTTTGTTAAATCAATACCTCTCTGACAGTCAATCAAAGCTGAGTATTTTCATTGTTAAAAAAACAAAACAAAACAATTGGTTGGTAATTCAGCACTTTTATTGGCTATTCCTCTGAATTTGATGTGCCGGTATACGTAATGTTGTGACCACTGAGTGTGCTGTATAGTTTTTAAAGGTGACTAACACTACAGGACATAGTTGCACAATTCATAAAATACAAGGTGTCTATGTAAAAAATGTTTTAGTGATGTCAAAATTATTGATTGTCGTTGCCCCCTGCCCCCTCCCCCACACCCCCTCACCTTGTAGGTAACATATTCTACCTGATGGAATATAGGGAGATATTCCTGACTCTGCTGAGAAAATATGACGGGACGACGCAGCCGCAGTCTTACCTGAAAGATTTGGTGGAGTCGACGCATCTCTTCCTGCGTATGCTCGAGCGCTTCTGCAAAGATCGCAGGAACTTGGTTGTGCAGGTACAATTTGGATATGAATTTCTCCAATGCACTTCCTTGATGACCGGATCAGCTCTTGATGTGGTGATTTTACAGAAAAAGCGAGTGAAGCGGAAAAAGTCCAAGAAAGACAAAAAACAGCCAGTTGTAGAAAGAACCCCAGAAGCTCTGGCAGATACCTGGAAAAATGTGGAAGAACAACTGAAGGCGGTAAATTTTCAGGTCAGTGTAATCACCTATCATGAAAAAGAAACACTTATGACTTTTTATGCATTTCGAAAGTATTGGGACAACACCAAAGAAAATGCTGTCGTATCTCGATTTAAGAGTGCCTCAACTTTTCGAGATGCAAGTCCCATTTTTTTTCATTGGTTTACACGCAATTACGTGAGGTATGAGTAAAAGAATATATAATTCCGGATCTTTTCTCAGAGCCAGTCTCTTAATCAATAGTAAGAAAAGTCCTACCCCCCATGACTAATCATCATCCATTCTTTTTCTGCCCTCATTGGCAGCTGGCAGAGTCTCTAACTGAGAGTATCGTGCCTTTCGATGCCACATCGGAAACTCCTCTCGAGGAGCAGCGGACTGAGGCAATGGTGCGGGTGCAGGATGCGTTGCAGGCTCAATTAGGACCGGAGGCTTTAGCGCTCCTGAGGGCTGCCAGGTCAGTCGTGATACACCACACAGTTAGCTTCAAGCGCCAATCAAAAACTTAAGAAGATGAAAGAAACGATTGCACTCAGGGAAGTATGGCCCGAGGGAGACGTGTTTGGCTCGACTGATGTGGAACCTGAAGAAGAACTGGAACTCCTCAAGCAGATCTTGCATGCAGAGCTGCCAAGTATGCACACAGCGTATTTACACGGCATGTGTATTGCGCCGTCTGTATGCAGGATTCACGTTTAACCCTTGATTTCAGGGTCGGCCCCTCCTCCTGAAACTCAGGTGGAAGAGGAAGGTGAGGATGATGCTGATCTAGAAGAGGACGAAGAGTTGGAGGCAGTCCAGGTTTCCGAAACGGAGTTCAAATTTCTGGACTTTATCAAAAAGTGAGTCAATAACTTTATCAAAGAATGAACATTTCTATATGTGTGATCAATACAGAAACTGGCCCCTTTCCAGTTCCATGTGTTTGTATTTTATTTCACTATGGCATTTGGACTCTTCGCCTTTTGGTGCCCAAGCTGACATTTTGCCTCTCAAGTTACACTCCACGCTGACATTTCTCTGTCGATTTTTTTTTTTTTTTTTCACCCCGCACAGGTTCGCCAACCCCAACATCGTGCGTCCATACCTGCTCTTACTCAAATCCTACGCAAAAAACACACCTCACACAAACCACTGCATCGCTCGAATGCTTCACCGTGTGGCATTTGACCTCAAAATGGACGCCTTGCTGTATCAGCTGTCAGTCTTCCATCTTTTCAACAAAATCCTGAGTGACGCAGCTGCCGCTGCTTACAAGGTTGGCTCATAACACAAGTAAGAAAAGCCAAGTAGAGCGTAGGCCCCACTGCCTACGTTGTAAATGGCTCGAATGTCCAGCATCGTTTGTGGGTAAAATTCCTTGCTCTGCGCCGACATGTAATGTCTTTGGAGGGGTTGGTAGTTTTTCACGGACTCAATTACTTTTTGCAGGTAACAAACAAACAAGTGACAATGATGAGGCCCATGAGCTCTAACCTCCTTTCTGTCCTCCGCAGGAGCTGGTCACTTTTGCCAAGTATGTGCTCAACCGTTTCTTTTCCCTGGCGGTCACCAACAACAAGGCCTACGTGGAACTGTTGTTCTGGAAAAACGTTGGCGCTGTGCGTGAGATGACTGAAGGCTACGGCAAAGATGGGTTGGTGATTTTCTTTATATACCGTATCAATGTAAAAACTGGAAAGGATTAATTTCAAAATGTGAGAAACACACACAGATAACTTGCTGGAAAAAATTCCAATTATCTGGTAATTGTTTTACAATTGTCAGAGTGGAAAAGATGTCAGCTTGGACGGAAGAAGAGGAGCAGGAATTGTCTAAACTTTATGAAGAGCACCGGCACTCTGAAGGTTTGATTTTTATTTACTGTTAGCGCTCCTGTTTGTCATTTATTTTGCACGTTGCGTTAAATGGGGAACTAATACAGCTTCCTGTTGCTGTTTGCGGACTCTTGCCAGTGCCAGACATTGTGGAGACCCTGCTGCCGTTGCTAAGCAATAGTACGCGCACACGGAGGCAGGTTGTGACCCAGTTGGTGCGCATGGGTCTGGTGAACAGCGCTAAAGAGCTGAAGAAACCCAAGTATGTAGGCCGGACCATCATCCCACTCATGTTTTTATGTAATCAATTGGAATGGATAACTAATCAACTGAAAATGATTTTCTGCATCAAAGGAAAGGTACCAACATCGTTCTTTGGACTGAGGACCAGGAAGAAGAACTTCAGATGCTCTATGAAGAATACAAAGACTCCGATGGTAATCTCTGAGTGCTTTATTGACTAAAGCATCTTATTTATTGAGAAGACTCCATTTCAATTTGATTTTTAATTGCCCCCCCCCACACACACACACACACACACAGATGTGCTTGGCAACATTCTTAAGAAGCTCACGGCCAAGCGCTCTCGTGCACGCGTGGTGGACAAGCTGCTCAGCTTGGGCCTAGTCTCAGAGAGGCGAGAACTTTACAAGAAGAGGAGTCGAAGTGCCCGTCCCAAAAACTCTGCCGCACAAATGGTAAGTTCTAATAACTGTTGGAAGACAATCAAACAAGGAAAACTGTGAAAAATTCTTCCTGCAGAGTGAAGAGGATTTCCTAGCTGAACTCACACAAGATTTCCCAGGTGAGCCCCTGAACAGAGAAGATGAGGATGAGTCTGAAGAAAGTGAGGAAGAAGATGAACTGGAATTGGAAGAAGGACAGAGTGGTGGCAGCAGGAGGCGCCAGAGTCTTGTGTCGAAAGAGGAAAGGCAGGCTGATGTCGGTGCCACGGTCACAAGGCTGCATGAGGAAGGTGATTTTTTTTGTTTGTACTTTTTATTTACTCACTTCACTTGCAGGATCTAAAACAACAGCGGTATCGCAGTCTGCTTTTACAACGATGTAACTACTCAGTTCTGATTCTGGCACAGGGCTGCACAACCTCAGATGTTTTTAAGTCGATCGACGTCGACTCTTTGCTGTTGTCGTTCGTATTTTTGTACTATCTTTTTTTTTTTTTAAATCACCGGAGGAGGGAATGCTCTGCAGTAATCTACATTCATTGACAATGAACAGCTGTCATACACTGCATTTAGGTAGAACATGCACATTAGAGCACTGGCGTGGGCTGGAAACTGGGAACCTGTCCCTGTTTTGGGCCCACCACAATAGCTGGTTCTGCATGGTGGTAATTTGTGTTGTCTGCAAATAACCATGCACCTCTTTGCACGTAGTGGAATAATTCCCCTCTGTCCTTCCGCTTGGATAGTGTGACCTGAAAAGTTGTTGAATCCCGCTGGAGCCTGTCCCACCTGCCCCCCCCCCACACCCCCCTCCTCCTTTATTGGTTCTCCCTCACTAAGCTGTGGATACAGGAAACAGAAGACAATTTAAATCAATTTAGGTGATGGGCTAATTTCTTTCAGTGCATTTGTCTGCTGGATGCAAGCGGATCTGCCTTCTCAAGCCAAAAACGGTGGACGTCGCACTCACCGTCATTTCAGAGCAGTGGTCATGGAGTGTAGAATTTGATCATGCGATACATACTTAAATAAATGTGACCAACATAGAAACAACTTTCAGTGTGACGCAGTGCAGACATTTTATGTTCTTGATATCATTCAATGTTATTAATTTACGATAATTTGCAATCGCAAGGGTCATCTTGACTTTGTTTGTCATCCAGGCATGTCTGAAGCCCTTCAGTGGTTACAACGCTGTCTGGACCGAGCAGCTAAAAGCCGGGAAGAAGATGGTAAGAAGTGTCGGCAAAACGATGTGTTGGTTGAAAAATTTGTTCAAGAATGTCCAGTTAAGACTTGGTGTAACGTGCTCCTTTGGCCAGGTTTTTCCCAGGCTACGCCTCTTGTGCCCCTCACTGAGGCATGTGAAGACGCTATGGAGGACAAGACCTTCCACGGGCTGCTGCGCAACCTGGGAATGCGGGCGCCTGCAAATGAACAGGTGCGGGTATATTGCTCAGTATTACACTGGCAAGTTTCAGCAACTCCATCTTGCTGCTTCCGGTGACCAATATACTATTTCCGTGTTGTATTTCGAAATGATTAAAAACCCCGCCGCTTTAGTCAAGCTTGACATCACTTTTTCTATAACGCGTGCTCATTAGGAGACATTTTGGAGAATCCCAGAAAAGATCAGCCCATCCCAGCTCCGTTGTGCAGCTGCGTCTCTCAGGCAAAATCCAAATGAATCTAAAAATGAAGAGGTCCTCGTGGAAGACGACAACCCACCTGAAGAACATCAGGAGGAGAAAAAGGAAGTCTCTGATTCACAACGAGCAGATGCTTTGAGAGCCCTGGTCGTTGCACGCAAGAGGAAACAGCACTCAAGCAAAGATGACGGTATGTGTGGACACCTCATCCTCTGTCTTTTAATTACAGGTCTCTCGTGCAGCCAAGTACATGTTGTACTTGGGTTTTAGACAATAACCGCCTTTTGTTTTGTCAGTGGCCATAACTACTGTGTGTTTGTGGGAGTCAGCATTGTTGCACTTGGCCTAGTTTTCTGAGGCTGGTCAATGGGTTGGCAAATCATGTCAGTTATTTCTCTGCCCTTTTATTTCAGCCCCTGATATGGATTTAGCTTCCACTGAAGATGCAAACAGTTCATTTGAGAGGTGAGGGGACCAAAACTTTGCTCAAAAGTAACTGTTTCGCTTGTAAATGAGTTAAGTCCTCATCTGATGTCTGTATTTTAGGGCCAAAGAGAAGACAGCTAAAAGAAACAGAATGTTGGACAGTGCCGAGGAGGAGGGTATTGTATTCTATTTCATTTACATTTTTGTTAGGAATGAAACTTACATCGGCTTATAATGCATTTCAAGCAGTAACTGGATGTGAAAATACGATTGAGCCAGACTGTCTTTGCAGATGACTGTTCCACCACGGTAATGGATACTCATACAAACGGTGACGCAGATTCAGACGAGGAAGATGTATCTGCACCAGTGAAGCGTCGGCGGAAGATGGTATTAATTGAGGAAGATGAGGAAGAGGATTAATTGCCCTTCCAATGCAGTCAATACAGTGAAAACAAACAACCCAAAGAAACAGTTCCTTCTGTTCGGTGTCGGTTTTCATTTTCAAACGGTCACTCCTATACTAGTATGTAGTCATGATGTTAAGGAAAATATGTTTGCTGCTTTCTATTTCGACTTTCAGCATGAATACCCAAGAATATTTTGTATAACCCTGTAATTAAACGTGATACTTGCTATTTCAATAAATGCCATAAGATATGCCATGGCACAAATCTAGTCTAATAATTTGTATTTTCAAATAAAATTCTGTGGTCAGAAAAAAATGGCACAATTGTAGTTATCTAGTGTATCGGTCTAATCGCAGTGTAGTAAAACATAAAAATATAATCAAAGCTTTATCAAATATTTTTCAGCATACGCAAACGTTACTTGACTGTATGATGCACTGCAGTTCTGCACCTTTACAAACTACAACCACAGTAATAAACAGTTAAACGAATACCTCAAAACTAAAATGATTATTCTCGTAAAGGTTTTGATATAGCTCTTGTATTCGATTACATTTTCTTAAACTGTTGAATTCAATCTACTGTGTGATCTGATCTGTGGTGTCATTTTGAGAAATGGTCGCTTACATCATAATACCTGGAGGTGGTAGTAAAGAGCAGCAAGGATACAATTTGGCTCACAGTCCCAACAAACGCCAAGTACATTGCAGTTCATTCCGGGCCTGGGTGGGGACCCTTTTTATCAGGGTTTCAGTTTTATGAAGTCCTCCGAGAGGCCGACTATATCTGAAATGTTGTAATGATTGTGGGTTAGATGTTTTGTTGCTTTTAGTGAAACCAAGGTTTATTTCTTTCTAGAATTGTTTGGCAGGCCAGACCAAATGTTCTCGTGGGATGCATTAGGTCCATGGACTGTAAATTGCCACTCCCTGCATTAGGTGATATCAAATACGAACGCAAATAATACAAGTACAGCAGTGAGCATTTGATTTTCAGTCAGGTTCAGGAGAGCGTTCTTCAAAACAAGGATCTCGTGTGTGTGACAGCAGTCGCTGCCTTGAGTCACACTCATATTCCAGCTGTGTGGGAGGTGGTCTCTTGTCCTCACATCTGGACTATGTTAGCAACTTCCTGTCACAGCATCTGCTCTGCCCCTACCTCACAAAAGCCTCGATCCGACCCGTTGGTCCACAGAAAGAACCTTGACTGTGTGTACGTACAATTGTGGGTGGGTTCGTGTATGCCTTGAGGTGCATTTTAATTGATGGGATCAAAGAAACGTGCCTGTGAAATAATGCTGTGTGTTTTACAATCATGATGACTCGCTTTTTTGTGTGTGCGTGTGTGACCAGAACATAAGAGTAACCCTGGCCGCTTTATTGCAGACATGTGAGGTGCAGACGCACACACACACACACAAACGGGGTCATTACATTTTGCAAGTTTGTGGGAATAGATGCCAGATTTGTATCTCTCAAAACAAAGACTAGCCTTTCCTTTGAAAACGGACAACAGTTCAAGTATTTCAATGTGCACAGCAGTTTTATTATTTGCATATTAAGTTTGTTTGAGACCTTAGACTCATTCACATATGGCCACAAACTCACCGTTTATCATGGAGCATGTGCTGCTGAAAACACACACGAGTCCTACTGTGACTTATGTTATAATTTAATAGCGACCGAGAGCTACATATTGCAAAACATATGCGAGTAAGATGATGAGCTTCTATTCATTACATTGTAACCTACCAGATGTTTTGGTGTTGACAAGAAAGGGTTCAATTGTTTTTACAAATCATAGTGTCGTGAAAGCAGACATGCCCAAGTAACCGCTTGAATTGCTTACATTTCACGAACCATTATTGGATAACAGGCAGTGGCTGCTAGGGACAAGCCTGGACGTTAAACGGGTACACGTTATGCATATACTGTACAACATGGGAGCTGTGGCTTTTTATAAATTCTACAAGCTCTACAATGAGGACAGCAATTCGTGTCTATAAAGTTAATGCTGTGTATGAAACTGAAGCGGTTATTAACCACATTATTTGTGTCTTTATCTACAAATGATTCAAAGTGTGAATGATAAGAGAAATGAGACCACAAAAAAGGACGATAGTGGCGGGAAAGGGGAAGGTCTGAGAACTGGCAAAAGTTAATCACCAGACCTTAACCCAGGACAGCTTTCCTTTCACCTAAAGAGGAGTCTGAAAGGAGAAACTCACATAAATAAACAAGAACTGTAAGTGGCTGCAGTAAAGGCCTGATAATGCCTTTCAAATGAAGAATGCAAAGTCTGGTGTAGTCAGTTGGTCACTGGCAATGCTGGTACAGCATTGAGTCTCGATTTCCAAACTACTGAATGTCCAGGGCCGCTGCCCTGTTGGCCCCTCTCAATGCACGGCCCTGCATTTTTAACACTTTACAGGAAATTGTTCAAAAATGTGTACCAAAAAAAAAAAACTCGCACGTGGTCTGACCAAAAGTTAGGGACAAGCCTGGACGTTAAACGGGTACACGTTATGCATATACTGTACAACATGGGAGCTGTGGCTTTTTATAAATTCTACAAGCTCTACAATGAGGACAGCAATTCGTGTCTATAAAGTTAATGCTGTGTATGAAACTGAAGCGGTTATTAACCACATTATTTGTGTCTTTATCTACAAATGATTCAAAGTGTGAATGATAAGAGAAATGAGACCACAAAAAAGGACGATAGTGGCGGGAAAGGGGAAGGTCTGAGAACTGGCAAAAGTTAATCACCAGACCTTAACCCAGGACAGCTTTCCTTTCACCTAAAGAGGAGTCTGAAAGGAGAAACTCACATAAATAAACAAGAACTGTAAGTGGCTGCAGTAAAGGCCTGATAATGCCTTTCAAATGAAGAATGCAAAGTCTGGTGTAGTCAGTTGGTCACTGGCAATGCTGGTACAGCATTGAGTCTCGATTTCCAAACTACTGAATGTCCAGGGCCGCTGCCCTGTTGGCCCCTCTCAATGCACGGCCCTGCATTTTTAACACTTTACAGGAAATTGTTCAAAAATGTGTACCAAAAAAAAAAAACTCGCACGTGGTCTGACCAAAAGTATACATTTGTGTGGGAGGGAAAAAAAACATCAAATTGCGACCGGAGGTTTCTGCCCGATGCCAGCGAAATACACAACAAACTGATGAATAATAAAATAGAGGAGGTGCCGAGTTCAAAACTGTGGATGCCCCGACCCCTCCTCTTTCTCCCCTCCAACGGACTCAAGTCACCCACTCCAGGAGCCCACGACCGAGAGGGATTTGCCTGACTAGTGAGAGGGGGAAACTTTTTTTTTTTGAGCCGTTAAAACAGATAAAAAAGGGGGAGGACATGGGCGGTGCATGACGACAAGAGGGAGACTTTCCAAGGGAGAGAGAGAGGTTGGACCGGGCCTCGTCCTAAGTGTAGCCCGAACCTCCTTCTACACTTCCACGGCTAACTCAACTCACTAAAAAAACCGATCCTCCTAAATAACACCTTTCGGACAATTTACACGTGAGGGGGGGAACGATGTTGTAGGCGTGTTGTAATTGTAGTCGCCTTAAAAAAAAAAAAAACAAGGAGCCCAAGGAAAAGTTAGGAAAAACCGGTTTTCCCTGGTCCATTAGCACCGCTTTTGTGTTTGTGAATGGCGGAGTAATTCGTCTGCTGACAGCACCAATTGTCCTGCACAAGTGAACGTCCCAAGCTGCTGGCTCCCTCGGTAAGTTTTCCTTGGTCGTTCTAACATCTTGTGCCATACGTTTACTTTTTTTTTTTAAATGCACCACTCTAGTCACAAAGTTGTTTTGTAGTAAGTAACCATGTGGCGTCATAAAACAACAGTGCTATAGGTGACGAGTTCTGATTCGAGTATCCCCCGCACACGCATAACGATCTTGTGACTTGTTGAGCATCCTTCAGTGCTAAACATGCCTTGACAAGGTGTGCAGTTTAGTGTGCGTTTGTACGTGGAAACAATTATTTCATTTGTGGTATTGACATTTGTAAAGCATTCCTTTCCAACGGCAGGTTGTTTAACTAACCTGAACTTAATCTGAAATTAGTAATGGATAAGACGCCAAATACTTTGGAATTTGCGGTCAACAGTGTTATAACAAAGAAAACAGCCACATCACATTTTATTTTTGTATTTCAATTACCATAAGCTATTTGCAGTATGGTACAAAATAACCCACTCGCCCACTTCATATAGTTAAGCTCTATTTAAAAGACACAATTTTAGGTTTGTACATTCTATGCAAACCCTAAATACATTCTTCACTTCACAAGGCCAACATTTCTCCTTGTGGCCTACATGGCGTGCCAGGAGTTTGAGCCCTGCGGTTGTGTTCTGTGATCTAGGGAAGGAGTGCCTCTTGGTTTTAGGGTAGTCAGATGACAGCCTACAGGTCCTGTCTTTACCGGGGACTTTGAAGGCTGTCGTTACAACCCCCACTTTATCTATTGACCTAGTCTGTCAGCTTGCACCAGATGGTTTTGCCCCTTAGAAAAGGCAGAGAGGAAATACATTCCTGCTTTAGGGCAAAAAAAGAAGGCAGGAGAAGAGGTAAAACGGCAAGTCAGACTGTGCATGTTATTTTGCGAGCAACCTTTTAATTAGCACGGACACCAGCATCACGACTTGTTTTTTTTAAGGACGTAGGTACAATCTTGCTTGTTTTTTAGAACAGGCTGTTTATTATCAGGGATTAAATAAATTATGTAGTGAATGAAACCATTTTTAGGAGGGTTTATGCGGAGATGACAGCATATTGTTAACGATACGTGGGATTTGCTACATGAACATAACTGGTCTTATTCCCCTTAACACAACAAGTCAATGCTGACCCCCGTACACCCTACAAGTACACTTACCTTGTCTGTCTTACCTACACGTGAATTAATCAATCAAAGTGGATTGGACACAGTACCCCCTGTATTTTAAGTCTTTAGATATAGTAGTGTCATGTGATACAAGTGACCCGACGACGTCAGCTTAATGTTTACAAGCAATGCGAAAGAGTGTCGCTAATAGTTTCGTGCCGTTATGATCTTTAAACAAGATAAATCTGAACGCAAATACGGGAGCGACACCTGAAGACAGACATAATACTCAGCCATATATTCTTTATCTTTGCAAAAAATGTTTGTTTCGGTTGTTAAACTCTTCTTCGTGTTGTCTCTGCTCCCATGTTTTGCCCTATTTTTGTACAAAAATAGGGCAAAATTATGTTATTCTATTTAATGTTATTATTGTATTACAAAATGCAATTTTTCTGATTACAAAACACATGATTTTTTGGGTCATGTTGGGCAGGCTGGAATATAGCATATTTCCATTCATTTCAATGGGGAAAGATGATTTTGAGATAACAGCGTTTTGAGTGACGAGCGTGGTTCCAGAAAGAATTAATCGATTATTTTAAAGCGCCATACTGTATATGGTAACTGGATGAGGTTGGCGTGAAGGTCTTTGATCTCCACCCTCTTCCAAGAACTTGATGAACTACTTTATACAACACAGATACTGAGCCGGCAGGTCCTCAGAAATGTTCTTCTGGATGAATGAACCCTCCAAAATACTCCATAATTCATTTCATGTTCACTGTCGGTATCTGTATTGTTGTGATGGTCCGGTGTCCCAATGCTTGTGTTCTTGTAGCGTTATGTGACGTTTAGATTTCATTTTCAACTGCGATAAAGCTTTCTATCTCTGTCCAGTTACATGACAAAAACAAACACTTCTAAAAATGAACTGAGCAGATTGGACTTGATAAGAAGCATTTGAAATTCCTTGTTTTGCATTAGCTGTCCTATCAGAGGAGCCACGTCAGGTCAAAACAACTCCGTATAACAGAGCACGTCCAAGTCCTCGGCGCGAAGAAGAAACAGCTCAGCTTTAGCCTTGTCCCTCCTTTCAAAGGGACGCAGATATCATTCAAGAGACCGAAGTAAATGCCGGTTCACAGTGACATTGCTGAATAATGACGTGAAATGTGACTTAACCAAAAGAAGTGTTGAGGGATTGCTGTGGGCTTTGCTGTTTTGAGTGCATGCCTTGGCTGAGTAGTTTTGTCCAGATGCCGAGCACATGGTCACATCCGAGCAGTGGAACTGTTGAGCTTGTCTTTTTGAACAACAGCAATGAAGAAGAAGAAGAAGAAGAAGAAGAAAACGAGTGATGCAATCTGCTGCAGCTCAAGTTCTCACGAGAAGTATAATGTTTGATATGACAATATGAATTTTTCCACCTGCTTTGTGTGCCTACTGGCGTAACGGGATTAACTGAGAGGGATCATTCAATCATAACAATCACTGTCAATAGTAGTCATGCAATCCGTTTCGTACCAGTTTAATAAGGGGATGTTTTGCATGAGGATCACCAAGTGAAAAATCAGAATGTATTCTGTTATGGGTTTTTTGTTTTAAAAGTCATCAACAGACAGCGCTGTAATGTACATGCTAAACCGTCAAGTGTTATACAGACTAGTCCCCCCCCCCCCCCCTTGTCTGCACAAATTTTTTTGTGTTTACCCAAGCACACCCAGCAAGAGGATTTTTTTTTTTTTTTCCCCCTGTCTGGAAATACCATCACAACACAGCGGACAAGCCTTGACCGAGCTGTCTCGATGCACTTGTGTTCCAATGTGTACTCCAGTTCTGCATAAATTCAGTGTATGTGCTGTCAGTGACTAAAGATTATTGCCAAGCATTACCTACTCCAGTGATTTATTATTTTTTAAATTACAGCCCTGAAAAAAATAGCAATCAGGGACTAGTGGACAGAGTGGCCCGGTGGTTGATTGGTTAGCGTGTCTGCCTCATAGTATGGAGGTGCAGGGTTAGATTCCGGCTCCGGCCTTCCTGTGTGGCGTTTACATTTTCTCCCCGTGTCTGCGTGGGTTTTCTACGGGTACTCCGGTTTCCTCCCACATTCCAAAAACATGCATGGCAGGCTGATTGAATACTCTGAATTGTCCCTAGGTGTGAGTGTGAGCGTGGATGGTTGTTCGTCTCTGTTTGTGCCCTGCGATTGGCTGGTAACCGGTTCAGGGTGTCCCCCGCGGCCTTTGTGAGGATAAGTGGATCAGAAAATGGATGGATGGACGAGTCGACTTGAATTTGACAACATTACTCTCAACAACAACAACAAAAATCTGAAGTCATGCAATCCTGACCTGCTAGTCATTGTTGATAGAAGCACAACATATGGGCACGAACAACTTTGCTTGCATTTACTCTACACGAAAGAACAGTTGAGAAAGTAAATGCGACTCAGCTGGTGGTAATAGTGGTGTCGTAAATGTCGACGTGTAAGCCCAAATTCGACCACTGTGATGTTTCCACTATCATCGTGAGCTATGAAGTACTTGAGTCAGCCCAGATTGAGCACTTAACACACATGTGCATGTCCTTTGTTTTCGCAGACCACAACTTTTAGTGTTCACATGGAAACAATAACATTGTCTTGTTCCAAACAAGATTTCCCATTGAGACGTGCTTTCGAAACGTTTGAGTTTTTAGTTTCCATTATCATGTCAACAAAGGGCCTAAAATGTTTGATTTGGTTTCATTTACCAAGCGCTGATGTTCTCATATTTTACAGAGAGCAAAGAGCTTTAATACAGGGGTGGCCAAACTTTTTGGACAGAAGATCAACTTTTCGATCAACCAACCTCCCGCAATCGACCCGTTACTGCGCACGCACATACACCCGCACGCCATGATGAGCAACAGCCTGACACAGAGGCATGCGACGCACTTTTGCAGCCTGTTAACTCATTCACTCCCAAAGACGTTTTTGAACGTCTTTTCAGACTTGGTCTAGAATTGGCTGGTACTGAATGAGTTAACTATCGTAGCTCACACGTACTGTTTTAAAGTGCTTCCCTCAGCCCTCTAGATTCCTATTCTTTGCCCGTGCCCTCGGTGAATTGTACACGAAACAAACTCTGAATGAGAATAATGATAAAAGAAATAGCGCACCCACTCTGATCACAAGCTGCAAGATTTACCTGCTTTATTTGTTTGTTTGTTAGTTAGTTAGTTAGTTAGTTAATTAATTAATTAATTAATTAATACTTTTTGTGAAAACGAGACTGGTAGGATGATTAGGGTGCAGTGTACATTAACACAAAAAACATATTACTCACATGCACAAAGACACATAAATGGTTGTTAGTTTTTTTTTCTCCTCTACACCCCTCGCGATCGACTTGGGACCAGTCCGCAATCTACCGGTCGATCGCGATTGACGCAACGGGCGCCCATGCTTTAACACAACAGTTGGGGTGTTTGTCTCTAAAATTTAGGTTGCGACGATTGTAACAGCAACGGAAACAAAAACAACGTTGCAAACCACCTTGAATCCGTCACATCCAAATGGCTATTGAAAAGACTACTTTTTGAACTGTACACGCTGATTATACCTGTGTCATGGAAGGAATTTAAGGGAATGGATCAAAGCAAACCCACCACACCTTTATTTTCATTCCCTTCCTAATTATGTTTGTTGGAATGGAGTGGAACATGTGACGTTGCCAGATAACTTCCATCTATGCACGCTCATTTTGGGAGCTGTCATGTTTTCAGGTGAACACCCTAAACTGCTACTCTACTTTGATGCCAGACATGCCCGCACTTTTAAGTTGAGATTGCAGGTTATTTCATTTCACCCTCCGTGCTAATTTTGGAGCTGTACTTCTTTGGTTGTTCCAGTTA